GCGATGCCCGTTGCTTCTAGTAGCTTCCTAGCAGAGCTGTCTTCCAACGATTCCAAGTCTTGAAGGATTCCAGGTAGATCAGGTAGACCAGGTCTATTCATATGTATTCTACGATGTATTCTGTATGCCCATGTCTTGTCGACCTCGGTCTTCACTCCAGACTGCTAGAAAGAATCAAGACTTTCCAGCAACAAATGAAACATGTCGACAAGTTTGGACATCTTATGAGCAATTCATTGTGAAACCTTTATGGACAATTCACTGCGATAATTGGGTGTTACAAGAAGAAATACGTCCAGCAGCGGAACAAACATCTTATTGGGGACGTCACGTCTGACTAGACAAGTTTGGAATGTCTTTCGAACCCTTCGGTGGCCCATTGCTAAGGAAGATTGTGGCATTACGTCATTACGTGGTATGAGCTTGTTGTCTTGTATATGATTCATTTTGGAGAACCGTTGCCAGTGTGGATCCCACAAAATATATCACATCTCATCCCTTACGACTTTCATTCAGAGGTTCAAATTCTCCTGCATAGACGAAATAGTCTGAAGCAAGCAGTTCCACTTTCGGTCACCTTTTAACGCTTTCTTGAGAACACGCTTCGTCACCTTTCCCGTACTCTAAGACGGGTGCTTCTTCACACATTTAATTTGGGATTTCTTAGTTTGGTGGGTGGTATTCGTGCTCGACCTCAAGTTTACATAAATATAATATATGATATACATATGCTATGCTCGACAACCAGCATCAAACTGCCAATGTTTGAAACAAGTACCTCTTGAACATCCATTTGAGAAAAACACGTGCATTACAGGCAGCTCAAAAAGCCTTCGTAAGATACCAATTTGCGCCTGATGAAGGTCTCACACAGGATAATGTAAAGATGCATGAAAGGGGTTTGCTCCCGTCTTCACTTATCATGATCTCTACCAAGTATAGCTATCCAATCATCGTGTCTTTCTCACTTCAGCACCCCAGTGCCAGGGCAGAGTCGCGTTCAAACGGGAGAGTGAACACATAAAGCGGGCACAAGCAGAAATGACAAATAGAACAAAGCAACAGTGGTCTGTAACTGAACCTTAAACCGTTTGATGTCAAATGATGTCCTTTTTACTCTTTTGACTCGAATTGATTTTCTTTTAAACACTTGTTGGTTCTTGTTGATTCCCGTTACAAAAAGACTGTTTTCCTTGTATGTTTTTTGATCCCAATTGACTTGCCTTTTAAACTGTTGCGACTCTTGATGATTCCCTTTTAACATTTGCGATTTCTACTGATTGCCTCTTGATTTCATTTTGATTCCAGTTAACTTCCGTTTGATTATTGGTGATTTCCTTTTATCTCTTCAAATGACGTTTTTTAAGCACCGCATTAAATCAATTCAAATTGTTGTACACTTTTGTTCCACCAAGGGGGTAGCCCGGTACACAATAATGTGTTCCTTTTGTGGTTTCAGGAACGCGCCCCCTGGAATGTTTGCGCTTGTCGATGTTTTACAAATAGCCCCATTTGCAGAGGTGAATCCATTGAATTCCTGATTGTTGGTGAATCCATTCTGGCATCTGAGCATCTACATCGTGCAGGTGAGCGATCATCATCCACATCTATGCTTCTAGCTGTTTCTGGCATCTTGACATCTGTTACATCATGCAAGGAAATTAAAATCAGAAATTACACAACTCGCAAAAAGTATATACAAAAACGCCATCCCCCATGGCGCCCCGCTCTCTCAGGGTTTTGCCCCAAGATCTCACATGCACTATATAAAGAACAAAAGTAAAAAGCCGCAAGACACACCATTTTACAAACCGGCTGACAAAAGGCATGCTATGTTGGAATGGTGCTTTCCTTGTTTCAATTCTAGCCTTGGATTCCGTCCCGGAGGTACACGATAGAAAAAAACAAGACCCAGACCAAAAAAGTCATCATAGAAGCCGCACATCAGAAGAAAAACACTGAAATCAATCTCACCACTCAGACTACCACGAAGAAAAACACCAAAAACATCTCCGACCAAGAACAACTTTAAAACCGCAGATCACAAGAAGAACCAAGAAAAAATGCATGGAAAAACATCACTCAGACTACCACAATGGGAAAAACACTGACCAAGAACAAAGAAACCACTTATCAGGAGAATCTCGATATTCGAAGGTCTCCAACCTAAAAGCGATGGCCTCCAACCTAAACGCGATGGCCTCCAACCTAAACGCGATGATGGCCTCCAACCTAAACGCGATGGCCTCCGACCTAAACGCAATGGCCTCCAACCTAAAAACGTGGCCTCCAACCTATAAGTAATGGCCTCCAACCTAAACGCGATGGCCTCCAACCTAAAAGCAATGGCTTCCAACCTAAACGCGATGGCCTCCAACCTAAAAGCGATGGCCTCCAACCCAAAAGCGAGCCTCCAACCAAAAAGCGATGGCCTCCAACCTAAAAGAGATGGCCTCCAACCTAAAAGCAATGACCTCCAACCCAAAAGCGATGGCCTCCAACCTAAAAGCGATGGCCTCC